GGCTCTTCCCACAGCTCCCAGGCCCAGGAGCAGGCTGGTGCAGAGCCTGCAGTGGGAGCAGCTCCCTCACTCCCTCCTTCTGCCTGGCCAGAATCCCAGACAGCTCCAGGAAGACATGAGAAGGATCTGAAACCCATCCAATATTCTGAATAGGTAGCAAGGCTTGAAATGAAGCCAGGTGCTGGCAAAAGCACAGCAGGCCTCAGCCTGGCAGACTAAAGGCTTTTCCCTGAAAAACAAGGAGGCAGGGAGACTATTGCTGCCTGCTGCCTTTCTCCCCACTTTGTCTTGCTGCTCGACCAGAGCAGAAAGTTTTTTTTTTTTTTTCCCTTTAGACTTAACTACACGTGCAGTCATGGAAGTGCAGAGCTAAAAGAGCCCTACAGTGCTTGGGAAGACAGTTCTGCAGACCTTTGTCATTAACACATGGGTTTGTCCCATAGGAACACCTGGATCACATTAATTATCTCTTCCTAGGGAAAACAGCTCCAAGAATGCTGTTGGGGCACTTGGATCAAAGGGGCAGCCACACACACAAGCTGCTGCCCACCCCTCACTCACATCCCACCCCTTCATCAGCTGTCCAGTAAACACAATTTTGTTGGAAAGCAAACACCCAAAAAACACAAATTATGCAAAAGTACTGGACCGATGCTTATCAGAGCACCAAGAAGTCGGTGCTTGCATCTGAAGAGTCCGAGATAATCAGAGATAAGCACACCCTGCCCCCTCCAGCCTTTGATAGCTCAAAGGAGCCGCTGGCTACCGGAGCCAGGCTGCTGGCAGCTGACCTGGGCTCTTGGCTGCCACCCTTCCACCCCATCCCACACATCCAATTTACAGCAGAAACTTGAGATCAATTCAATTAACGCCACTCCTGGCAGAAACCATCAGCAGGGAAACAGGGACCTTCTACAGCAGGTCTGCTGCTGAAGAACCACAGCACTGCAGAGCGGGACTGTGCTGGCCTCTTGCTCGTGGCTCTTCTTGCTAAGGTTGTAATTTTGTAAAAAATGCAATGTGAAAAGTTAATGGGACCAGAAGATTTTGGCTGATGAGCACACTGCTGACAAGGAGGGACTGTCTACATAGCTGAGGAGATATGCTGAATTTTTTATACAAGTTTTATACAATGAAAATCACAAAAAATTAAAAACAATTTGGAGACACACTGACCACTGACAGTGCAACATGGGTTGCTCAGAGAAGTTGTGCACTCCCTGCCCCTGGAAGTGTTCAGGACCAGGCTGGAAAGGGCTCTGAGCAACCTGGTCTAGTGCAAAGTTCCTCCCATGGCTGGGGCGTGGAACATGATGGTCACTGAGGTCCCTTCCGACTCAAATTATTCTGTGCTTCATTAAAAAAATAGTTAATTGGATGAATTCTGAAATGCTTGTGGATGGCTTCAGAAAGCACCAGGTATCAATTCAACGTGAAGACTCATCACTTTTTTCCTACAGACATCTGGATGTAATTTTGGTATTTTTTTAAAAATTGAAATCCGTTTGCTCCAGGGTAAAACTGTACAGTAACACAGCTCAGCTTCAGCCTTGCAGTAAGTGATAAATGCAGCTACAAATATTCTCTCCTGTGCCAGCCTTGCCACTCAGCCATTACTTCCTTACCAGCTAAAAACAATACACCAACTCAGTTCTGCTTTTCAGCTGGAACTTTTCCTGACCAGGACTATTTTTAGGGAATCTTCAGTACAGCAGTGTCTGGAGAATGAAATTATTTACCCACAGCCTCCCCAGCTGCCATGAAAGCAGTTTCTCTTCTAATATATCAAAGAACAGATGCAGTTTAAGGTGCTGATGTACAATTGTTAACACCCAAAATTTTGCAGCCTGGATGGTGCAACAGCAGGAGGAATCATCTTTAAAAAGCCATGACCCCCTTTGATTACCTGTTTTTTCAATTGAACACATTCCTTCTGTAAAAATGAGCTTTCTTGTCCTCTGCAGACCACCACAACAGAAATTTGCAGGCTCTTCCTAACATTAACAAGCTAACCAAAAGCTTTATCAATTGAAAGAACCCAAACCAACTCCCCCCAACTCCTAACCCCAAGCTGCACTCTTAAAAATCCAATTTGATTATGTAAATATGGAGGTTGGGGTTATTTCAGCTGAAGACATGCTTCACCAGCTCTGCAAATAATTGCTTAAAACATAGGTTATGATATAAGAATTTGAAACTTTAGTTTATGTCCTTGCTAGATATTTAGAGAGCAGCATCCAATCTAAAGGAAAGGGATAATTTTTGTCAGATTCTTATAAAAAAAGGCTTTATTTTGAACAAGTTTTCTCCATTTGGTTTTACAGTCTCAACATACATCATATTCATGGACAAGCAGCATTTTCACAGAATAAGAGCCAAATACAAAGAGAAAGCCACTTGGGATTAACAGTTTCAACCTAATTGACTCAGACTTCAGAAAATCCTGTATGCTGTCACTTATTTGAGGTAAAGGAATTCCATAAATTAAGATCCACTGTTCAACAGAAGAGTCAACAATGAAATATTTGAGAAGTAAGAACCTTGGGGAGGAGGGGGAAAAAGCAAATCTTAAACACACTGTGGGCAACAAGCAAAGGGGGAGGTAGGATTTCCACTTGGTTTGTATTGGTGAACGAACACTTGGGTCTGTCAGGTGTAAATGTTTAACCAAATTGGTGCAGTTTAAATTTCAAATTTGATCAATTTTACTGGTAGTACAGTCTCAAAAGGAGAACCTAACAAGATATGTCATGAGCTTAGTTCATGTGCTGTCACACTAGGCACCCATTAGAGCATCCAGTAAAATCCACTGCTTTCAGTGCCCATTCCAACATATTCCAGTTACTTGGGGAATTTTTGGGCAGCTGTTCAATCAGATCACAAAATTATACATTTGGTAGAACTGTAGAATGCTTTCTTCAGTAAAACTGTATTGGGGAGACAAAAAAATCCACCTTCCACTATCTGTTCATGCAAAAATATACCTGCAGTGAAACAGGATTTAGATAAACAGATTAAAGCCATTACAGGGACACATTTGTACTTGTTTTAAACTAACTTTAAAGAACAACTAACTTTTAAACTAACTTCATAGAGCAAATCTTAAACCTTTTAAATACTATCCACATTGTATTAGGTACTGTTTAAAAACCAAAAACTATCCTCACCTTTTATATCTTGAGATTTAAATTAGCTCACCAATAATCCTGAATCTCACCTAAGAGAAATATGGAACTGGATTAATATCCTGTAAACTCTAAGAACTAAATTACCAATGTGAAATTCCTAATGCCCAGCAGAAATACATTTCATCTCAGTCATTTCATGCCAGGCACTGATCAATTTCTTCCAGTAAAGCATCATTTGATTTATGTACTTACAACAAAACATCATGTGGAGATGGGCTTCACTGCTTGAGTGATATTTCTTCAAAAAGGGTCCTGGCACACCAAGTTCTAAAGTCTGGTTAGCCAAACCATCCAGTGGGAACAAAATAATTCATATTGAACTGGTGCAAGAATTTAGTTTAAGAAGCAAAGCAGATTAATTTAGAAAAGCTCATTTTTTATAGTTTTGTTTTCCAAGTTCCAGTTAGAAAAATGGTTTTATACTTAAGAGGCAGAAAGAAGTTGGTTTTTAATCATCTGACTATGTGATGCATCCATATCCTACTTCCATTTTCCTAAAAAGAATCACCAAGGAGCAGATTTATCATTTAGCAAGTAATCTGGCTCAGAACTAAGGAAGCTCTAGCAAGTTCTCTCCCCCACAGGAAAGCTGTGTTTTATTGTGTAGCTTTGTGTACACACAGTTCTATTTTGCAGAAATATGATCAATGACCAAAACTTCTTGCTACATTACACTTTGAGTAAAAGCAGACATGAAGGAGGTGAAACTGCAAGTCAACCATTGTACAAACTGTCTCTCAGAAAGCCAACATTTCCACTGGAGCTTGAATGCTTTGGGACAACCTACAATGGTCAGCGACTGAGCAATTCAAGCTCAAATTAAAAAAAAAAAAAAAAAAGTATTTGTGAAGGAACTGCTATCTGTCCATTAGCTTTCATCACTCCAGACCATCAGAAAGGTGGAAATAAGATTTATTTTCCACTAGCATCCAATTAGTTTTCTATGACCTTGAATGCTAATAAAATGCTTTATATTAAATGACAGGTGAGAGAGAGCATAGATTAAAAAAAAAGGCTGTTAAGAAATTTGATCCTTGCATTCACAACCTTGCATTTCCTTCAACAGCACTTCTCTATTATGTTGCATGGAGCATAATTTTGGTGTTCTTTTTTTTTTTTTTCCCAAAACCCTCACCTGCCTATTATGAATCATTGCATTAAAAATATCTTTTTCCACACTGCACTAGGCAACTTTCTTTCCAGCTAAAGAAAGGAATTTAGTCAAGAATTATAAAAACCTGAACTATGAACTCTGGCACAGCCAGGAGCAGCCACTCAACTACGCCAGAGTGCTTAGAAAATAGGCAGCCAGGAGTAGCAACTCAACTACTCCAGAGTGCTTAGAAAATAGGCTTTAGATTTTACACCAAGAAATTGGATTTATTGTAAATGCCACAGTCACATTGATAGACAGAGCACAGACTTCTGGTAACAAACAAACATACATTTTTGTAACTAAGCGTTTCTACTCAGTAAATAAATGCATTTCGCACAGCCTTCCTCTTAAATGTGCCTAAACTAACCTAAATAAGCAGACAGCATAGCAGAAAAGGGAAACTTATGTGAGTAACTGTTTCTTAAGCAGTATATTATTTTTACTATGTATATAATATTTTATATTATATACACACACATTTTCATCAACAGTTCAAATTATACCCGAATAAAATGAAAAAAAACCCAAACCAGAACTGGCGCTCCTCCAATACATTTACCACCTTTCCCTCAGGCAGGCTTATCCAGGTATTTGTCAAGATAGAGGAATGACAGTTAAAAAGACTCCCCCCGACAAGAAACAAGTTACACAAAGAATACTGTATCACTACAAATTTTTTATTCAGAAGCCCATCTTTAAAAAAAATGTCATTATGAACTTGTTTGGTCAAACTACAACACTTTCTAGCAGACATACAGTAAAAATGGCATGGCTCAGAATCGACCGGATCGCTCGCGATCCCTCGACCGCCTCCTGTCGCGCTCGCGGCCGCCGCCTCCTCCGCCGCCTCCGCGACCGCGATCTCTGGATCTAGACCGGCGTTCGCGGGACCTCGACCTGGATCGATGCCTTCAAAGAGAGTTTGGACATTTTATTGTTTCATCCCCAGCAGTGATTCACTTGGGTACCACACAGTGGAACACGGAATTAAGAATGGGAGCGATGAGAAAGGCAGTGTGTCATTAGAAGGATTGGTTAATTGGCAGTCAGCACAAACAGGTACAAGAACTGGCTGCTCCCTGCAGTCACCTCTGACAATGGACGTGCCAACCCTAAGGAGAGGCACGGTTACACTGCTGGTATTTAAAGCAGGAGAAGGGGACACCTGCTTTGGCAGACAGGAATAGCTCTTAGCGACACACACCAAAAGCCTACAGCTGCTTCTAAGTCCACTCGTATTAAATCAATTGCACTAATTAGCAATTACAATCCAGTTCTCTGTTGTTGCTCCCTCTACATGATTTCTACCCCTCCAGGACACAAGCACTGCCAAATTATCTTCCCTGCCTCTTAGGTTGATAAATTCAGGAAGGGAGCTAAAACCACCCAGCACATACTGCTACCACAGCCACCACCAATCAGCATTACTGAATCTGAGAGTTCCAGATTTGTAACAGTGGCCAAAAGGTTAATATAAAAACACACTTGGTCTTTTTCATAAAGCATTAAAACATCTGAAAAATTTACTTAGCCACAAATACATATGGCTAAGCAACATAATCTATGCTTTTCAAAGTTAAATTCACCCTCACGGATTCTAAAACACTGCCAATTAGAGATGTTTACAGGAAAAACACATTCACAATCCCAGGCTCCTTCTGTGACTGTCAGAAATCTACAAAAATCATACTCTATATAAAAGCAAGATGAAAAATTTTATATGCCTATGCAAAATACCAAGGTCTTAAATGCAAGCAGATTGAATCCAGTTCCAAGTGAACCATCACAGTAACAACAGTGGTAAAAGCTTTTCTGCAAGGTACCTCACTAAATGAGTAATTTAATACATAATAAAATGTCTTTATCTTTTTGTTCTTTACCATTACGTGAAATTACTTCTCCTTTCTCCTACTGGGAATTCCTATCAAGGGACACACTGTGAAGCTACAAGTGAGCTCCATACAGTGACTGGCTGATAGTAACAGTAAGAAGTGAATACAGGCTACAACATTTCACCATTAACAGCTAAAGGCAAATAGGGCTGGGTCCTGATACAATCTATAGATATGCTTGACTGCACATAATGCTGAAAGTTGCTGATCTGCTACCAAAAATGGCCACTGGCCAAGCAGCCAGCATCTAACAAAGGCCATGAGCAAACACGTTTAGAAGAGAATAAAACAGAAGAAGCATAAAGCAACTTCTACCAAGTGATGTCCATCTGCACCCAAACAGGTAGGGCCTATGTCCTCAGTAACTCAGTGGGTCTTCTCCTTGAACCCTGCCTTCAGCACCAACCTTCAGAATCCACAGCATTGCAGAGCCAAGAAGCACCACAATTTCAGAGCCCTACTTCTTTGTTGGAAACTGGCCACTTGCCAGCTTGACTTGATGCCCTCTGGCACGTGCAAGAAATGCGTCAGAAAAAACAAGAGGACTTGGCACAAGTTTAAAGATTTGCCTTCAGATTTTTCAGCGACTGATCCTTAAATTACTTGTTTTAGCAGAGTTTAAAAACAAACTTACTTTTTACGACGCCGCCCATACAACTCGCGCCTTAACTCTCGAGAAATGGGCTTCAAATGCATAAAGTTGCAGAAACCTCCTCGTGTACACTCTCTGAAACACAATTCAAGAGGCACAGTTAGAATTCCCAGCTCCTCGTGTACACTCTCTGAAACACAATTCAAGAGGCACAGTTAGAATTCCCAGCTCTACACTATCTGCTGCCTCAACACCTCTAATACTGAACACAGTAAATTACAAGCATCATTTACCGACACTGCCACTCTTCTAGGAGAAAATCCCCAAAAGATGGCAGAAGGCAAGAGGTTCACTGCAGGCCCTCCACACTACTGGTACCTGAAGCGGTTTCCTTCCTGCACTCAGCTGCATGCAATCCACAGCCAAGCACCCTCCCTGCTGCCAAAGGCAAGAGGAAGGCCCTGCTTATTTACCCCATCTCGTATTGACGGCAGCAGGCCTCTCTGAAGTCGGTCACAGGCGAGAGCTCGGCATGGATGGGCTGCCCGTTGAACCAGCGATTGTTCAGGTCGATCACGGCCTTCTCTGCATCTTCTTCACGGCGGAACTGAAAGCAAAACCAGCCTTTTCAGAGCAGCAACAGGAGGAGATAGAAGGTTCCTGTCCAATCAGTTGTGTGCTATCTGAGGCTCAGGGCTCCAGTAATGAAATTAGAAGCTACTTCAGGTTTCTTGGACAGTCCATCAAATCAAGGGTAAATATGCCAGCTTTTCATTAGCTGGGACTCAAGGGCTAATCAAATAATTGATTTTCCTCTTCATTATGCTCTGTTGGATCTTTCAAGTGGGAAAGTTAGTCAATAGAAGATACTGTGTTTTCTTAGTACAGCTTTAAACAAAGAGAATGTTTATAAATACTTTCTGGAGCACCACAGTGCTGATGTAATGCATTTTTTCAAACATTTAAGATTAATTTATAAAACAACTGGAGCTCACATTCATTTAAAGGAGAATTTACAAAAATCAAATCCTGTTTTACCATGACTGTAAAATTTAAATTTGAAATGCCTTTTCACAGCTAATTTTTTTAAAACAACTTTTTTTTCTGATTATGACCTACACAGTCCAGAATTCCAGGTGTGAAAATACTTTCCAGCTGAGGGAATGTACAGCCAAAATAGTCAATTCTCTCACACCTCCCCCACACTGTGAACACACAGTAAAATTTCTGCAGGTGACAGCTTTGTACTCGTTATTCAAGAGATACCAATGACTTTTTCAAGTTAAGCCCAAGTGCTCCAGTTTGCACCTTGAACCACCCAGCTAGTGCCAAATCTAACTTGGTCACAGATATTGTGTTTAACTGGGAAGTTAGAAAATTAATGCACCTGTGGTATGTAAAACCTCTCTCACACTGATGTGCTTAAAGGGCAGCATGATGCTAAGACAGATCCCAAATTAACCCTGCCAAACTAAACAGTCTAGTAGTGGTGACTGTTTATAACTATGTAAAAGAAAAAAAAGTTGATCTGTCTGAAAATTACACGGATTTTGACGACCCAAAAAGCTTCACAAAATTCATTAAAATTTCTTTCGGATTCCTTTAACATTTTTACTCTACTTTAGATTGTGAAGTTGAAGAGTAGCTTATATACTGAAGAGCCTTCCCATCAAAATAAAATCTACAATCACACAGTAGCTTTTAAAATTCTAAACCAATAAACACCACCCCTCGTGACTGCATGAACATCCCTTCATCCTACCTTTACGTATACATTTCCAACTAGATGATCTCCAAGGTTGTCACAAACGTTCATCTCCTCAACTTCGCCGTATTTCTCCTCCATTTCTGTGAAGACCTCCTAAGCACAAAGCAACCCAGCAGAAGTTTGCAGCACATTCCTTTTAAGTATAGAAATATTGCATCTACCTCTAAGTAAGTATAAGAAAGACCTTCCTTGGAAAAAAAAGCAAGACCACTTGATTTATTTTTTTTCATTTTGGGATTTGAAATAAATACTTTCTTGGCCATCTATAAGCACAGCACTACCAAGATACAAGAAAAACCTATGGAAAACACACACAGCATTTACAGAATACAGAGGATGCACTGAAAACACAACACAGAAACTCTGATGCTAGCTTCAGGTAATTTGTTTTTATACAAATAATTAAGAATACTTAAAATTTATAAAAAAGGAGACTATGCAATCAAAATGGTACGTCCCTTAAGCTGCTCATGTTAAACAAAGACTATTTCAAACAGTAAAATTCAGGTCAAACTAACTAATGGTTACACCAGGAAATATTTAATACAAAGTTGTATGTTTTATAGGAACAACACAAGGAAATAAGTGGTTTTTCCCTGAATCTGTCTAATTGTGCTATCCACTACATCCAATTAACTTATCTGTGGTGACAAATCCAGAGATACAGTAATGCTCCTTTACATACCTCAAAGAACTCATCGTAATGTTCCTGCATCTCCACATCGCTCACAGCACCTGCAAAAGTCAAAGAGTCAGATCGATTAGAGCCTGCCAATAAGGAAGGGGAGATCTGATCAAACTACAAAACAATCTAGAGAGGCCATCTGGAGCATGAGAGACACCATATAGCATGGAGCTAACTAATAGGAATATTGCAAAATAAGGATGTGTGAAGAGCTTTGAGTCCCCAAAGTATCTGTCAAAATATTACATTGGTATGATCAAATCAAAGCAAGTTTTAATCAGAGCCAAAGTTGTATGCCACAAATTTAAAGGGGAAAAGAATTACTCTGAAATATCACTTAGAATTTAAGGTATAGTCCCACTCTCTAACTAGCAACAATTTTACCTAAACAGAAGGCAAGTGCTTTGTTACAATTCCATACTTTAAAATATTACTAAAATTTAGTATTCCTCTTCCTAAAGGCAGAAATTTATACCTAACTTCTCCAGCATATCCACTAGAATTTGAGAGCTCACAATGCAATTTAGCCTAGAATTTTTTTTTTATTTTGCTGAAAATAGTCATTGAAATGACACACTTTTCTCAGTGCCCTCAATGCTTTGCAACAGAGAGCCATTTTTCTAGTTTAAGTTTGAGTGTCAATTCATTTTCCTGCAGTCCTGCAGAACACCTTTCAGCACAAGACAAGCCAGCCTGATATTCCAGTTGAGATTATTTTCATGCTACAAGCTGGACTTCAAAAACGGCTGCTGCTTGCCTGCTGCTACCAAACCCAACGTAAGTGTGGCTATTTTTCAAAGCATTAAATGTACAAAAATGAGTTTATTTCTTGCTGTAGTCCAGTCTACAGCACTTTAAACAAGCTGTATACATTAAAGCCATCAGATTAGCTCTTCAGCAGTTAAGTGGTTTATTAAGATCAAGCGGAGCAGTTTTACAACAAACCCTGCATTTTATGCTAGAAAAATATTCGAGTGTTTAAAACTACAAACCAGACTGGTTTAGTTAACAGAATGTGAAAGACAAGAAACTCAGCCAATAAAGCAGAGTTTATTCATTTTCAGGCTAGCATGAAAAAATTTCTGGCTATTGTTACCACTTGGACAAACTTTTATGTTTTTTTTCCAAGGCTCTAATATTAATCAGCCACACTCTTTGGAACTGCAGTTCCTGCTCTTCCACCCAGCTCACCTCCAAAAGAGGCTGAGGGGCATTTGGTTTATAGCTTAGGCTGACAGTGTTTCTGCATTTGAGACATGTTTGCTTTTAAGTAATTTCTTCTCCCTCATGGTTATAGCAAATTAAGGAATATCAAACATTAAACCAGTAATTCAGGTAGTTTAATACTTAACTATATTCCCAAGGTTCTGCCAACATCACTGATAACAGCTCACTAACACCTAAGGATTTGTTTTGTTTCTAAAGGTGTCACGGGGGCTCTGGGAGCCTCAGTGGGAATAACTACTTTTTACTAGATGGACAAGTAGTAAATTTTTTTTTGGTCAAATTAGGGTATCACAGGCAACAACAGTTAGTTAATGACTACTTCAATGACCTTCTAAAGTGGGAAGCATACATACACACAGGCTTTACAAACATCCATATTCCAGGGCTAATGGTGTCTGAACCACGAGAAGCCCAATTACTAATTAAAATACTCAGGAAAACTACTGCTGTTCCAAACTAAGGTTAATCCTCTACGACGGCAATAGAAAGGAAGACAGTTAAGCAACAATGACAAGGCATTAAACAGCTACCCAAGTTATCCATTTAAAGTACATGCAATACTTAAGTAGGGACAAATATCAAAAACCAAGGAGCCAGGAGTTTCAGCAAACCTACTGCTTGCAGAGCTCCAGCTCTACCCCAGGAGGTACAGTCAGGCTCTGGCACACAGCTACTCGCTTGTCACAACAAACTAGAGTTGGATACCAGCATTTACAGCACTGGAGGATCTGTGCAGGACTCTTGCAGCTGTAAATCTAAACAGCTCCACAGACCAAACTGCTGTAACTCTGTGCAAATTAGTTACCAGCGCATTGAGAGCTCAGGGAAACAGTGGAAACACCCAACCAGAAATGTTTCGGTCTACTGAAACAGCATTAACTACTAAGCATGTGCAAGGAGAGAGCCTACAAACCAATGGAACTGGTCAAGCATCTAGACAAAATGACACAGCTCATTTACATGTCCAGCTTGATTGTGTGACAAAAGCACAAATTACATAATAGAGCCATTATTCCTTTTAGAAGCAAGAGAGACAGTGTTGACTTTTAAGTTAGTGGCCGATTCACAGAGCACTTCTAATCAAATGCTGGTAACTAATCTGAACTAGTCTATAAACCAACAGTCAAAAAAAAAAAAAAAAAAAAAAAAAAAGAATAGCCAAACAAAGCTTTATTACCACACAGTAAATACTCACTTCAACAAGAAAGATTAGTTAGAAAAGAACACCGACCCTTTTTTTGGTTCTAAAACTTTGTTTTTTTAATCTTATTTTAATATCGATGATTCAATTACAATGAAAAATCAGTTAATCGCCGATCAACAATCCTGGGCATTAATTGCTGCCAGTCTCACAGGAGGTGTGTTTGCTTATGCCCATTTGTATCTCAGGAGGAGTCATTAAACGACTTCATGACCATACCCAAATGCCTTCCCCTCCTCAAAAGTACTTTAAAAAAATACTTGTCTTAGGTAAATATGCCAAATGGCATAAAAATTTGAATTTTCAAAGTATGGGAAGAATTTTAAGCATGCACCCATCCAAAAAGGACAGCTGCCAGAAGGGGTTAGTCAGTCATGGTGTGTTCTTCCAAAGTGCACTCCCTAAATGGAAGCTGCATTAACCTAGGACAAATTTATGCATGCAGTCTGAAAGTTTCAGTTCAAGTTCTCTTAACGTTTACAGAGCAGGACATTTGTTCTGAATGAAGTCAATCTGTCACTGTCCTGCTCTTTGTGACAGTGGAACCTAATGGATAGCACAAAACATACAGAAAACCATTCCTAGGATGCAGGCAACTGGCAGGGAGAGAGGTGACAGGAAGAAAGCAGTGCAACCAACACTGCATCACAGGGGAAGTACAATTTTAACCCTTTTTGGTTTAATAGTTGGTGTTCAGATTCCCCAATAGTTTTGCGAGTAGGGAGAAAGGTAGTGGGACAAAAAAAGTTGGGATTTTTTTTGCTTTTTGGGGTTTTTTTGTGTTCGAACACATGTAATGAAACGTGGTCAGTTTGATCTGTTAAACTAAAATGGCAGACCAGTTTAAGTCGACACTGAGCTCTGACAATCAAGCCCAGGGAACCAGTGAAGGAACTTGTATGAACTTACAGCGCAAACCGTCAGCAGACTGGGAAGAGTTTTGAGGGTTACGGTAAATGTTCAAGAGGGCAATGGTCTGAAATACAAAACGCAACAACTTTATATTATGGAAAATAATTTTAACAAGAAACTGGTTTCCTTTAGGGTCGCTTTAGTCGAGTCTGTGCTGAAAGAGAGGTGGTTATTCTCTCCCAAGCAGGAGAACTTGCACTTAGCTGGTGACCTTTCTACATCAACCTAACACTGTAAAGTAATAGAGATCTCATGATACTCCATTATTGTATTCTTAATTTCACTCCATTCACCAATATTACTATAGAGGGGTTTTGCATGATTTCAGGCAGCAAAATAGGTGGTATCCAAATGCAGCAGTCACGTCACAAGCATAATAATTTGAATTTGGTATTGCCGAATGGCTTCTTAGCAGCAAAATCCCAGGAAAGGAAGTAATACAATAATTAGAGCATAACATGAAATCTCCATTTTCCTAAAAAAGTTAAGATGAAAGAAAACCCAGTTTTGGGACTTACCGTACATACGTACCTATTTTTTTTTTTTTTTTTTTTTTGGGTGTTAAATCAAGAATTTGAGAAATGTCTGCATTTAACCCTTTCAAAAGAACGCAGTGTTACCAAGTAACCAAGTTTCACTTTGCAACACAAAAGGGAATCTGCATCAAGTCCAATTTGTGCAGCCCTTTCTGCACTCAGAATTGCATACGTTCCACAAATTCTTGATCTGTGCGCAAGAAGAGTTCCGTCACTTGTCCTGTTTGCAACAGCTTTATGTCAGCAGCTCAGAAGCCAACATTATTTTATCATAATTAGGAGTGGGCTCTTTAACACCATTCTTTAAAAAAATTTCTCCAACTGTGGGACTTACAGTGTGAGCCGTCAGCCGTCTGTGCACTGTTTTGGGGGTTACGATAGATGTTTTGAATCAAGATGGTCTGCGGGGAAAAAAAATAAAAAGGGGAATTCTACTGGCTGCTGTGCATATAATAGACAATTGCAAAGAGACAACTTGTTTGCAAACAGCTAAAAGTAATATTTTATCCTTAAGACTTCCTTTTGTATTCGTAGAGTATCTTCCAAAATTGCATCCAGACCATCATATTATGAAAACAGTTTTAATTAACCACCAAGAAAGAGCTGCGTTCGTCTCAACAGCTGTCCTCAAAATGGGAGGTGTCAGGCCCAGTAACCTAGAATGTCACACGAGGTATTCTGGAGATGCCTAAACTTTTGAGACCAGATTCACTACTGCAAGTGTAGGGGGGAAAAAAATAGGTGTTATGTGCACAGCATGTAATACATAATGCCACAGTGTTCAAAACGCTACACCAGACCATAAGGCCTTCAGGCAACTGCTACATCTCGTTTTGTGCATCAGGGTTTTCTTGGTGGAATTTCTGTTTAAATAATATAATAGCATCATAGGTTCACATGTTTCCGATCCTTCAAATAAGGACAATATCCTTTTAGCCCTTCTGCTTTTTACTTGAAGAATTAGCCCAGGCAGACTTGAAACCTTACATTTGTACCGTTCTTCTTAAAATCAAGTTGTCTGAAAAAACAAACCATGTTTAAGTTAGTAAACTAATATTACAAAAAAATTCCAAATGTCCATATCACTGTAAGCAGCTCAAAAATTGAGATTTGATTACTTAAAATACAAGCTCAATGTTAGTCAGTATGAATGGCAATCCCCAAGTAACTTTAGCTTAGACATTATTATTATTAGTCACATTAAGAATTCAGAGCTTAAAGAAGTCACAGGACCAGCAATGTCACACCCGTTTAACATGTGAAAAAAATACAACTGTACCATCATATTTAAAGTCACACACTTGTTTTATTACAGGTCCAGCCATACCAACCAAAGCTTTGTGCTCCTGTAGCCCAGGTTTGAACTACCTATGATTTAGCCTACAACTGCAGAGTGCCAGAAACAGGCATCTGGTTAGGGTGTTTCTGCTGATGGGGGGTAATTTGATCACCCTGGATTGTGTGACCTTTCCTAACACAGCTCTTCTGTAAAGTAGCTGCACCAGCAAGAGCTGCACAAGGTTAAAATATCCATTAGCAGGATCTCTGTTCTATTTTCTATCACAGCTGATTGTCAACCTGCACACAAATAAAGATTTCTGCAGACCCCACAGAGTGCCAGGGAGATGTCACAGCACAGCTGCCAGTACGAGGCTGTGCAGTCCCAGACATCCCTGGAAGAATGGGATGTGCCCTGCTGACCCACTTCAGCTGGCATTGCTAAGCAGAGTCTAAAGCAAAGCTCAAGGCTGCTCTGACAGAAAGCTGTAGTTGCACACTTTCACTGGCAAAAAACCAAAAAGATGTAATGGTCGTGGCTGCTTTTTGTAGGTTGTTTTTTTGTTTTGTTTTGTTTTCTTAACTTAAAAGACAATTACTGTAGAAACTCTCTGCTTTAGGAATTTTTTTCATAGTCAATGACCTAAATTCAGGTCTCTAAATAACCAAGTGCACTTCAACTTGTGCTCCATGTAGGTCAGCAACATGGGATGGTTTTGAAAACGGACAATACTCATTTCAAACAATGTCTGCATTAGGAAATTTTAAAATCCCAGAAGCAAAGAGGTGGTTTTGTTGCTTAAGCACCAGAAGTTCCTACCCACCAGTAACCTTGACATTCTCCTCTAGAAGTCCCCCTGCCCACTCCCAGTTTACCTTGATGATCCTAGATCTGAACCTGTCACATGGAGAGTACTCCCCTCCCTAATTCCTCCCCAACCCAGCATCAGTTCACATTTCTCATCAACTCTGCTCCTAAGCAGATTAAACGAACTTGCAGAAGACTCTGCTGTTATGTGAACTTTCTCTCTGTACTTTTAAAACTACTGCAGTTGAAATTGCTGTAGTTAAAAATGCAGTAACTTTCAAAGGCACTACTGCTCATGTACCAAATTCCCAAAGAAATTCATCTGTGTACCTTGACAATCAGCATTGATAGAAACAGGGAAAAACACATTTCTCCAGGAGTGTAATTTGTGAATATTGTACAGCCCATAATAATAACAATAATGAAAACCCTGTCACTCCCTGCACCTTTTCAAATTTATTTTTATTTCTGGCAGACATGCAGTCACACATCATGTCTCTGAACAATATTCACTGAGCCAAAGATTAAACAATCTGTCATGCCAATTGACAATCCACCCTCAGCAACCAGGCAAGTTGTTTCCAATAAACCATCTCTTCCACATTCAAAGGAAGTATGCAAGTCACTCTTGAAACTTAAGGGCCTGGGTCAGAGAGCAAATGCAATGACAGATGAGTCACTTTCATTCATTAATTAATTTTCTTCTATTATATGCATAAAAGATTGAAGTTCCCACCTTTGGGACAGGTGGAATGAGCTGCCTTTGTCTGTGATTTAAGAACTCTGGGATGGTTTAAGTGCCTGAACACCACTGAGAAGGCACACTCACCTGAAAGTTAGCACTGGTTGGTCTCTACTACAGGCAAGCTTACAACAGCATCGCTTCCTGCAGCCATTAAGGGTGACAGGAGATAATTAGAAATGCTGGGAGAAGTAAATGGAATACCCCAAAAAAAAAAAAAGCAAAGACCCAGATAAACTGGGGCTAAAACTGAACTAATTAATCTGGAGCTTGGTAATTATTCACTTGTATCTGAGAATCTATGTTTTAAAGAAGCCAGAGTACATTTCCACAAGAAAGAGAAAAAAGGGGAAACAAACCTGGCTAAATGTTGGTTTGTTGTGCAACCGAGAACATCTGTCTCCATGGCGACAAGCTCCAATTTTGAAATAAAATGAGCAGTTGACTCTGCAAGAAAAAAATGAATAAGGTAGTTACACACTGGCACAGAAAGCATTAATCTGTAAAAAAGCCTATGCCCTAAATGTCCTTATCTTGATGTGGATAAGTAACACAGAAAAAAGCCCACATCAAAACCGTACAGGAAAGCATTCCAACAAACCTGTCCATATTCATTCCTTTCACCCCTAATTTACAGCCAGTATCTGACCAATTTCCCCCAACGTGGTTTCATCACACAAGTGATCTCTGTTTTACTCTTCTGCTTCTCCAGTCTTGTCTTTACATCAGTTTCAGTGGGTGATGGGATGGAAAGCAGCGAGAAAAACGGTCTGAAAATTGACACTGGGAGCTCTGTGGCTGAGTGGATGCAGCCCCGGGTCCAGCAATAAAATCTGCTTTAAAACTGATACAGTTGCACCTCTCTCGTGTTTTATAAAGCACCTGTTTAAGCTGTACTCTAAGGGTAACTCAGGCTGCTACCAACACAGATCCAAAAGGATTCAGGGAAGAGAAAATCATGTTACAGAAAGAATACACATCAGCAAAGTAAATCCATTTAATTAAGCCATTTCCATGAACATAATTAATGATTTTAAGAGCAAGCTGCTTTTTGTCTTAAACCACAAGCTTTTCTTGAATGATCCATCTCGGGAGACCTTGATAATGATCTGGGTTTAGAAATGCTCCTGAAACTCCCACAAAAAGGTGTAATTCACATAGAATGATGAAAGAAAACCACAAGGAGTTTTAGTTACCTTGACAGGGAAATGCAAAATTCTGAAGGGCAAGAAAACTATTGTGGGCTATATATGGGTAAATGAAATATTAGAATTCTCCTGGAAGAAAAATTATTATACCCATAATTAACACCAATTATTTTCCACAATCCTGTGTAATCAACATCAACTCATGGAGGGGAGAATTATTAAAGTACTAAAGCACATCTGATCTCTAGCAAAGCATTCTACTGTAAAATTGCAACATGCTCACTCTTCATTATGTTTTTGAAAACAAACACTTAGCATGATAAAATACTTACTGTCTTTTCTGAACTCTAACCTGAAACAAAAAGAAATACCTAACTACAACATTTCCAATAGTGCCTCCAACTTCAGCACCTTCTGGAAGGTTCCGTTTGCTTTTTTTAACAGAAAACAAGAGCTGCACAGGAATTTCGTGCCTGATTAAAACTCTGAAACTGTAAAGCGTTAAATTCCTACGTATCTCCTTTGTGTGAAAGGATGCTACAGTAACAGAGCTCAAAAGAGAGGCTGCCGACACTGCTTTCCTGGAATGGCAGCGCTACAGAGCAGAGCAGAAGCCCCACGGCCAGGGGCTGACAAGAGTAATTTAGTCCAGCAGCACATCGATGCCCCCTTTTCATTTTTACGAGTGGAAAAACACGCCGGTTTGGTCAGGCCGATGGTGACCAAATTTTCGTTAGGAGGGTTTTGTGTGTGTGCTTCCAACAACCAGAGAAACTAGAGGCGTTCCCGGACGCGTGGAAGGCTGCAGGCAGAAGCCTGTAGGATCAGGATGCAGCAGTCGGGGAAATCCTCCGCACCCTGGGGAGGGGGGAGAAATAACCAGTCGCTGTCCTTGCAGCAGAGCGGGAGCTCTCAGGCTGCTGCGAGGCTCAGGGACACGAACAAAAGGGGAACAGGAGGAGGAGGAGGCGCTTTCTGGCAGGAGGCGGCGGGAAGCTCCGGCACCCAGCGGCCCCGACAGGAAGGCGCAGCCGCGGGGGGAAGGGGGGAGGGAGGACGGGGGAGGGCGGCAGCGCGCCACGAGGCGCGGCACACCCTCATGGCGGCCAGGGGAGGGAGAGGAGGAGGAGGAAGAAGAAGAAGCGGGGGGTGGGGAGGGCGCGCGCGCGGGAACGCGCGAGACCCACGCGCCGCCGGGCGCGCGCCTGGGAGGGGGAGGGGAGGGGAAGGGCCTGAGGGAGGCGATGGCGGGGAGTGGGGGAGGGGAACGGGGAGCGCGGCCGCCTCTCGCTTCCCTCTTCCCGCCGCGTTTTCCAGCGGGATGGGAAAGGCGGGGGGACGTGGCGGCGCCCCCGAGGCGGGAGTGGAAGAAATGGGCGAAAAGGGCCGGGGGTCCCCCCGCAGGGAAGGAGGAGCAGGGAGAAGGGAAGCAGGGCTGACCGCCGCGATCGGAACAGGCCGCGTCCCCGCGCAACCCGCTACGGGCCTCCGGTCTCCCCTCGAGCTTCCCCCCCTCCCTCCCGGGGGTGCCGCAGCCGCGGGAGCGGCGCGGGGAGCGGGGGAATGGGGCCACTCACTTGTCCTTCTCGGTGCCGAAGATGGAGGCCAGGTACTCCGCCATCTCCCACCGCCCGCCCGCCCGCCGGACCGCCCCGGCGCCGCCGCCGCGTCACAGCGACCGCGCCGGAAACGCTGCGCTGAGGGAAAGCGGGGGGGGGACAGGAGGCGGGGTCCGCACTACACGCGGGGTCGCCACGGCGCGCGCGCAGGGGCGGCGGGGCGGGGCCGGGGGGGCGGAATCGCCAGGCCGCGGGTTCGAGTCCCGCCCCCGGCAGGGCCTGAGGGGACGGGGCTGCTCGGGGGTCGTGGGTTCCGGGTGCTGGAATAAAGGGATTGGTGTAAAAGCGGTGTGTGTGTACGTTCTGAAGGGGTTTAAATTAAAAAAAAGCCCAAAAAACAAAAAACCCAAAACCTTGCTTTTGAATTAAAAGCAGAGCGGAGAGTAGAACCAAATTCTTTCTGATCTTTTTTTTTTTTTGGGAGGTTTCATGGAATTACAGGCCGAAAGCTGCAAGGCTGAGCCCAGTGAACTGAAGTTTTTGTGATGGAGCAGCAGTGCACGTGCAACGTTATGAACAAGTTCATAAGTTAATACAATTAGAGCTGTTAATGGAGAGTAGAGCCAGATTCTCTCTGAATGTTGTTTTGGGAGGTTTCATGGAATTACAGGCCGAAAGCTGCAAGGCTGAGCCCAGTGAACTGAAGTCTTTGTGATGGAGCAGCAGTGCTCGTGGAACAGTCCAATACTGAAAACCGCATCAGGAAATGAACTTACTGCTTCTGCTGATTCAGAAAACAAGACTGAGCGCTCAGTGTGAGACAAGGAAAATCAATCTCAGATGTTTTGCTGTTCCCTGAAGCAGCAGCAAATCCACTCCATGGAGCTCACAGCTGCAGCTGGACTGTTCACAGAATCATGGAATGGTTTGGGGTGGAAGGGACCTTAAAGCTCATCTCGTTCCAAGCCCTGCCATGGGCAGGGACACCTGCCACTGTCCCAGGTTCCATTCCAAGTCCCATCCAACCTGATATTTCCTGCAATTCCTGATTTGGTTTGAGCTGTGGGATGTCTCAGGACAGGGACAGACACTGCTCCATGTCCTGCCCTGTTCTTTCTGTGCTCTTTAGGGATATAAAGCTCACCTGCTCCCTGCTCCTTCCAGCAAACTTGCACTGATTTTTGCTCCAATATTGTTAAAGCCTTCAGCTGAAATGTGTCGAAATACATTTTTCCTGGGGAATCAAGACACGTTTTCAATATCTGAAACGTGCTGGGCTGTTTGCTGGTGTGAGTCAGGGGAAGGGATCTCTGCCTGGCATGGTAACAGCAGCCAGTCTTTTTCCATGTTTCTTTTTTTTTATAGCTATCTGTAAATCTCAGGTTAATGATTTATCGCAGGTTACTCCCTGCCCCAAATTGCTCAGATCTATTGGGTTAAATGCTGCCACAGCCCCTCCTCTGTTTTGCTCTGCCTCCTTAAGGCCCACTGTCATCAACCCAGGACAAAATGGTGACACCCAGATCTGGTTTGGAGATAAAAGGGCAGAGAGGGAAAATGAAAAGATTAAAACAAACACAGAAACTCGGTACATGAAGTACTTAAAACATTCACTGGAAAAGAGCACTTTCTTGTTGCCAGTGCCCAGAACTATGTGCTAAAGAATTACCTGGAGTTCCAGGCCAGTGCACAGGACTTGGTTTCTCAGGTTAAAGGGGCTTTGCTAACAGTGCATGTGCAGGGATAATTACTGGCCCACAGCCAGCAAGCCCTTTGAACAATTTTGCCAGCTCTCTGCTTGACACCTCTTGGAACAAGGCTCAACTGTGAGGAAAGAGAACCAATTTAAGATGTAATGTCAAAAAAAAAAAAAAATCTGAGAAGGAAGCCCATGTACATTACAGCAGAGCTGTAGCTGGTAACCTCATCTAATCTCCTTGCATGCCTATCCTTCACTAATCACCATGGTTATATAAGCAGATCTTTGATAATATCCTCAATTATAGCAACCCCAGGAGAGGCTGCACAGCACAGCAGAGGGAACGGGGAGGTTTTGGGGCTGTGCCTTCCACATGGATCTGGGGAAGGACTGGCTGTGGCTTTGTTTCATCCCTCGGGGCAGCACTGGTGTGAAGGACTCTGCCAGCAGGCACATGGGGACAGAGCCTGTGTGAGGTGCCCAGGGGAGCCCTGGCCCTGTCAGATGCTGCTCTGCTGCTGGGGCTGGGGTTCATTGGGGCAGCCTGGCACCAGCAGCAGTTCCTGTGGCTGGGACAGTGGCAGGGAAGAGGAGATGCTGAGTCAGAGCCTTGGAGAGGCAGCAGTGCAGACACTGCAGAGCATGGCTGAGGGATTTGTGTGTCTTAGGGAAGCTTTTCCTTGGAGAGGCTTTGAGATCCAGCCCCTGATTAGGAACACTGCTGATTTATTATCTGTTAGGGAGAGCTTTGCAATTGTAAACAGGAAAATTAATAAAGTTGCAGGGCTTTTTAAGTTCAACACAATAATTGGTGTGATTAGAACTTTCGTCCAGCAAGCTGCTGTGCAGTCTGGGGTCAAGGCCATTGGGAAAAACGCCAGTCACTTGTTTTTAAAATTTTTAAAGTTAATAGTAATAAAATGGTTATAAAAATAGCAATATAATTAGAGTAACAAAAATTTGGACAATTAGCATTAGGACAATATGAGACAATATAAACAAAGAGTTATGAACAGTCTGGGTGCCTCTTTATGGGCAAAATAAGCCCAAAAAAGGACACATGTTAATAGAGGATTAACCCTTAAAAGCAATAGCCTGTTGCATATTCAAACACCTCATATATGATGCATAAATTCCATTCCAATAAAGGATTCTGTCTGGTCAGTGTCAACTTCTTCCTTTGTATCCTGACAGCATCTTCATGGCTGAGCGAGGTGGGAAGAAGTTTGTTTCTTCTGATAATGGAGCAATAAATTCCCTTTCTCTGAAAGATTTAGGTGTCCTGTGGCTGCCATCTCGGTGCGAGTCCTCTCTTTAAAAAAACTATCTTACACAGCATAGTTTCTATTTTAACATGATGTTATAACCTAAAACTATATTTAAGACACTACTTAAAAAAATTAATACAGCATAACTTTCTAACATAACACATATAATATTAATTTTAATATTTGCGAAAAGCCGATCATAAAATAGGCATTTTTCACAGCCATGATTATGGCAGTTGCTGTTTGTGAAAAGCCCTCTCTCCTTACAAGCTAGACAAAAATGCCATCCTCTCCCCTTTACAGAGGAGACAGAGAGAGCTGGTGATTTTCCTGACATCAAGGTGGACAGAAGATGAGCAGAACCAGGGTAAGAATTTAGGGATAGCCTCGTTGGCTCAGCTGGAGGGTTCACCAGGCTGCAGTCTCCTTGCTCACACACGAGGCAGCAGGAGCTCTTAGCTGGCTGTGAAGGGGTGGAGTGCCTTGGCAGGGGACAGAAAGAGGAATATTCTGCACTCTGTGGAGAGCACTGGTGTGTTTGTGGTCTCCTCTGCTTCGTAACTCAGTGCACAAGTAACATCTGGTGCCCACAGCTGCAGCTTCACTTCTGGCTCCTCCAGAACCACTTCTTGATTTTTATTTTTTTTTTTAACCCCATTTTTAACACTCTCCTTGTCTGGGTGCAAATCCCTTGTTTCTCCCTGTTCTGCCCTCCCATAGCCCTCCATCCCCCCTTGCTAGGAAGAAATTCCAAGTTTTGTTCAGGATATGTGC